GCTTGGTAAGAGAAGGCTTGGTAGGAGATTGGTTGCTAGGAGATGGCTTGGCAGGAGAAGGCTTGGTATGAGATTGGTTGCTAGGAGAAGGCTTGATAAGAGAAGGCTTAGTCACCAAGGGCTCTACTTCTTCAGCATAAATGGTTGCATCCACGGTTACATCCTTAACAGAACCTCTAAGCTCAGACTGCAATTTCTCAAATCTTTCACCCATCTATTTCTGTAGCCTCTCTTCCATTGCAGGAACATTCTGCTGAAACAACTGGGCCACAAAGCTCTTCATACCCTCATTATTAAAAGGCGCCTGTTTGGTGCTAGTACAGAGAACCTTTTGTTTCATTTTTTCCATTCCACGATCTGGGAACCTCTTCTTTCTCTTTCTACCTCTGGAGCTTGTGCTCGCTGTTCCTCTTGGAGTTTGAAACTCTTCATCACTCCCATCTTCTTCATCATTCTTGGGAGCATCTTCATCAGTCTTAAAGCATCCCCATTAGTGAACCCCCTTATGGGGTTCATAGGGATTTTTAATATTTGTTTGGTGGGGTCGTGAACAGTGATGAACCTGTATTAATTATGCGCCTCCATTAGTGAATCCAAAGTTCGGATTCTTATGAATAAAGTAATAATTTTTTTTTTGGAGGAAAAAATATTATTTAATACAAAGAGAATATTTAGAAAAATAAAATAGCTGTAAATTAGTTTTAAAAGATTTTATTGAATACATTGAGAATACATTAATGTTGAAAACTTTTATTAAATACATAGAGAAATTGGAACATACAACCATTTTTCATCTGAACAAGAAGTTCTTGGTTAACCTAATAGATGAATACTACCAAGGATTGTTGAGCTGGGAAGTGTTTTCCACCAAGGTGAAGGCCTTTCACACTACAAGAATGGGAGGTCCCAAGAAGCGGCTTGTGATTCCAAATAAACCGAAAGAAGAAGACTACTTCTATGCGAATCCATATGATTCCAAGTTCATTCCACACATTGGGAAAAGTGTTCCCTTTGGGATGGTCATGACAGCATCCACATACCTTCACAGTGATATATGATCATGGAAGCATTGTTAGCTAATGAATATCATGAAAAAAAATGGAGAAAGGGAATGTTAAAGTACTTACCTTGTGTTCTTTTCCTTAGGCTTCACGAGTTGAGTTGGAGCAGCGTAATCAGGGATGTTGAGCCAGAGACCGTGGGAAACAGCAGTGGAAATACCCTCACGGACACTGAAAGGGTATCCACGGACGAAGTCAGCACCTTCACGGTATGGTTCGTACAAGGTGTTGAAGAAAAACGGAGAGGATGGGCAGAGAAGGTTCTTGATGTGTTGCTCAAGTGCGTTCACTGCTTTTCAAGATGGATCCTTAGCAACCTATAACACATGACAACAAACAAAACAAAAAGAATATAAAAATTAAGAAAAATTATTCAAATGCAGCTAAAATATGAAGAAAAAAAAAGCCCATGAGAAACAAGAAGTTACACGTGATTAAACCAACACATTAAGAAAGCAACATCAATGGCTTAACTGAAAACTCAAGTTCTTGGAAAAGAACCACAATTCCTTAAACATGGAAATTAAAAAGTTTGGACTTTTCTTTGCCTTTTGTAACAACAATGACATGCAAGAATCTGAAACTGCTATGGCAAAGATAGAGATTGGCCCAACAACAATTGGGCATCACTAAAATTAGCTAAACATAACAGATCATCACCGGTTACAATCAGTGATCAACGAAACTGAACTATACAATTGCAATTATGAAAAAGAAAAAAAAAACAGAGCAAGAACCATCCAAGCAGAAGAATGTATAGATCTACCGACATTGTAGGTTGTAACCAGATGTCGCATAGACACAAAACAATCCTTAAAACACAACATAAAACAGAGATCTATAGATTCAGACAAAACAGAACGACCAGAAAAGGAGCAAACTTTTAGAAAAACTTACGAAACAATCATCGTCAATTGCGACAAGCAGAGTCCTTGAAGGAAATGCAGGAAGTTGTAGGACCGAGGATACGGTTAATGTCGTTCATGTTGTAAAGCTCGTAATCGAAACCTTCAGGAACATCAATGGTCTGGGAAGGATCTCCGTCTTGGACGATGATGAGATGGTAAGGCTGGAACGATGAGCCGACGCATGTCTTGGACCTGCTTGATACGGGTTCATGCGTAAGGATCGGTTCACAGATTATGGCCCATTTTTCATTTAATTTTAATGCCCACTCCCTATGAATTCGGGCCTTTGAACCCCTTAAGACCCTCTAATGGGGCTGCTCTTAGATCCTTCATCATTCTCAGATACTCCATCATCCTCAGATACTCCATCATTAACCCCAAAAGAAAACTCTGGTGTCTCTTTGAACTCCCAAATATGATCACTGAAGTCATGCTTAGCAGCTATCATCCTCATGAGAACCTTGATTCTATCATCCTCCACCTCATCAGCTCTGTGAAATTCAGCACTTTCAATTACTACACAATTCCCTCCCCATGAGATGTATGGATAGATGACTTCCTACACAAGAAACGTAAAGAATGTTACATACGAAAAACTCATATCAAATCGGATGCAGCCATCTTAAATAGAAATATTTACCTCGGGTGTAAAGATGTTCTCCAACTGGATGATCTCCCTATATGCAATCTTTGCAGCTCCTCTCCAGTTTACACATCTAGGGCCGTTCATAAAATTTTTGTTGAGTTTTCTTCCACAGAGCTTTCCAATCTTTGGTACTGCTTCCATTGCCATCTGACACGTAACTGGTAGTCTTCTCCTTTAGTTTGTCACGATTTTTACCTATTGACTCGCATAGAAGGTCAAAACCAGCAACTCCCCAACGATAGTTTTGAAACTTCTCAAGATCCATGACCAGCTTCACATACTTGATGGGAATATAAGCCTTCTCATCTCTGCCGCAAACCATAGTAACAATGATGCACAAATACACGAGTCTTATTCGATCAGCATTACTCCACTTCTTAACATCTTGCTGGTGATTTTTCCACAGGTCCAACATACAAAGTCCATGTTTTGTCCTCACCACTGTGCTCCAAAAACCACCATCATCGTCCCATTCAACCAACTCCTTACATGAGAGGCTAGTATTGCACTGAAGCCCGGTTACTGCCTGGAATTCTAACAATGATAACCGGAGTGGTCTCCGCGCAAAGGTAAACGATAGCTCATAGTTTTTGTAAGTCACCAGCTCCCTGCACAAGAAGCTGTGTATCACTCTCGCGGAGTAACCCAAACAGTTCTCGTAGAGCTTAAATATCTGAGCAAAAAGCGGATCTTTCTTCACTTCTTTCAACTCCTTTGGCAGCCACCCCTTCAACCTATCCATGTAGCATACCATCCTGCAGTTGTTATTGATCTGAGTCACTTGGGTCTCCTCACCCGCCTCAATAAGCCTCTTTGGTAACTACATACAATCAAAAATAAAATCATGAATGCGAGCACAAACAATGAAAAAAAAAACAACAATGTAGTTTTACTTGTATAATCTGCGTAATATTAAACACATGTTCCACCTATTACTAAGATATCACAGAACAACATTACATTCAGACATCAACAAAAACTAAGTTCTCAACACTACCTTTACAGAACATTTCTATATGTTTAACATTAACCAAATCGCTTTGTCAAATTTCCCCTCTTTCAAGCTAACCTAAATACATACTCTACAAATACAAATCAACATACATGCTTAAATTGTAGTCGATAAGTATCCTAATCAACCCTAATTTACATAATTTTTTGTTTAGCAAATCAACTAAATCGGGTCTAACAAATAAACCAAATCGAGTCAAAATTAGTAACATGCATGACTCAGTATGACTCGATAAGAAGCTTAATCAACCAATACAAGTAATTTTAGTTTAACAAATAAACCAAATCAGATTTAAGAAATCTAGGTTAAGAGAATCAAAAGAAGTAATCGCAAACCTAGTGAGATTTTGATGAGAACCTTGAGACATAGTGACTAGGGACCCTCCAACAAAACTCTTACTAAGAAGACGAAGATTGAATGGATGGAATCTGTAGAGGAAGAACAAATCTCTTCGATTTCTCTCTGAGAACAAAGAGAATAAGAGATATTCTAATCAGGAATCGACTTATAAATGAGTAAGAGGAGAAAGAATGGAGATTTACCCTAAATCTCCATTATCACCGTTGAAGGTTCTCGGGAAAGAAGATATGGTAGAAATTAGGGTAAATGTAAAACGCCGTATTTGATCCTTTAACGTGATTTATTTTTTAATTTTTTTTACTTTTTTCTTTTGTTATATATATTACGAAATTCAATTATAATTATGTAAATTAAGGGGTATAATGGTATTTAAAAGAATATAAGTCTTAGTTTACCAAAAAATCTTGTAGAAATCTTAGGTACCCAAATCATAGTTCAAGATATCCTTTTTTTCCAATTTTCCCAAAAGTAAACTTCATCGAAGTGGTTTATTCGGAGCAGATTTAACAAGAAACAGTTATTTATATAAGAATTTTTTTTTATCGTGTAGGTAACGTGACTGAAGAACTTTGTGATGCGGAAAAACTACTTTGGTTGTTAGAAAACGTGTAATAAGATCATTTTGATATCAGTGTATTTTAATTTTGGTTTGCGATTCATTGTTAATTTCTTTTAAAATCTTATTTTTCATATCATATTCTTAATGGATTAGATGTGTGTACTTTGTGGCTTTTCATGTGATATATTTTATTATTTTGGAGTATTGTTTTTGTTATAATTTACTGAATAAAAGAATTTTGCAGACAAAAAGATAAGTAGTGATTCGTTTTAGATCAAATAATATCTTTTGCTTTTGGACCACCAACACATGCATGGCAGTGACATAACGATCTATTTGGGTCAAAAGAAAAAGGAATTCAGACAAACACAGCAGTAGTAGTACCAAAAGAAATAATTCCAAACTTGGAGTTTTCATGTCCTTACAAAAATTTTGGTCTACATGTAAGAAAGATTTAAGGGACTATGTCCACTCTTAAACCATTGAAGCCTTGAGACGTGGTTAAAATATCTATTTAGCGACATAAAAGACTAATAAATGCTAATTAAGGAACCAAACACAAACAACAAAGCTTCAGAAAAACTCAAAGTCTAGAAATTTATTACCAGCTTTTGTATCTCCTCCTACTCCTGCTGATGATGCTGATACTGGTGGTGGTGGTCCCATCATTCTCTTGCTATTACTACCAAACCCAACAGGATCAATCGGTCCATACTTTGGGGGTGGTTCAATTTCCATTTGTCTCGGTACTTCAGGAGGAGTACCACACCTTATCAATGCCAAATTCACTCCTTCAAAGAACAGATGCTGCTTTATCTCTGTTTCTCCTCTCTTCGTCCCTAACCTGTTCTTAGAATCTTTCACCAGTAAAGCCTGAACCAAGTCCCTCCCTGCGTAGCTAGTCGCCGGTGACTCAGGAAACTTCAACTGTTCTCCTACTACATTAAATAGAGTAGCTCTGTTTCCTGATCCTTTAAACGGTGTTTTACCATAACGAAGTTCGTGCACAAAGATACCAAAGGTCCATCAGTCAACCGCGCTTCCATGTCCTTCTCCTTTAATGATCTCTGGAGCTAAGTACTCGTGAGTTCCAACAAAGGACATAGACCTTGTGTTAGGTTCAGCTACTGACTCAGGGAGAGAACCTGAGTGTGATCTGAAGACGTCCGTCTGCGTTTTACGTGTCTTGTTCTTTTTGCTTTTGTTTGAGAAGATGCTGCGCGGTGAGAAGCATGATGTAGTAGGCTCCATGCAAGCGGGTTGAACGCAGAAGGCGCCACGTTTAGATGAATGATAGTCGAATGTTTTGATCAGTGTTGGAGAAACTGTGCATCTCAGTGAGAGATCCAAGTCAGAAAGCATTATATGACCATCATCTCGAACAAGAACATTCTCAGGTTTCAAGTCTCTGTAAACAACACCTAGCATATGGAGATACTTGAGTGCTAGCAACACCTCTGCAGCGTAAAATCTGCCAAAAAGTTAACAATGTGAAACATAAAAGAAAGTGAGATCACAGATTAAATCCAGATCCGAAGAGATGAACTGTCAGTACCCGACCCAAAAAGTAGTACCTAACCTAAACCAAAAATGATAAAATATCCAAACGGATCCAAAATTTTAATATTCGAAGAATCCGAACGGAAATATCTGAAGATATCATCACAATTATGTATTTAAATATATTAATTATTTTAGTTTTAATATCTATATATTGTATATTATTTTTATTTTTGGATTTTGAGAATTTAAAGGTATATTTAGATTTGTGAAATTTCTACCTAACTAAATTGGTATCTGAACCCAAACATCCAAGCATAACCAAAATTAAAATTTATAGATATCTGAATGGGATTTAAATCTATACCCCCTAAAACCCAAATAGACCTGAACGCCCCACCCCTAGACTTCACAGTGAATTAAACAACGCTTTGAGAACTATTCTGAAACCAATAGAGAGAACACATACCGAGCAGCATACTCTGAGAAATGTTTACCAGGCTGACGTTGCCTCAAAGTATGCAGATCACCACCAGGGCAGTACTCCATAACCAAACAAGAGAACCTATCCGTCTCAAAATGAGTATACAACGTCGGCAAAAACGGATGATCCAACAGCTGCAGAATCTCCCTCTCAGTCTGAGCTCGATTCAACTTCTTTCTATCCTAAAGAGAAGCTTTATCCATCACTTTCACAGCGAAATGACACCGAGTCCCAGTTAACTCAGCTAGATAAACACTCCCTATATCACCACAACCTAACCGTTTCAGCAACTTGAAGTGACTCATCCCTAGAACCCCGTCTCTAGTCCGTATAGCCATGATAGCATTCCACCTAGGATCATTCCCTTTGTGTGGCTTATTAAGACTTCCTGTGAAGTTGCTCCAGCTGCTCTCTTCTCTTAGGCCACTACTATCGCTTGCACTAGTCTTAGCGCTTTCGAATGAATCCAAGACACATTTCTTTATTGAGTTATTTGTAGTTGGTTATTTCCGGTTTCCTTTTGCCGGTTTAATCATTTTTGGTTAGTGTAGTTTGTATATATCTGTACATTCTGTTTCATTTACGTAATGAGCAATATTCCCATAACAAACTTTCTCTCTCTCAAATGTTGATCTTCTTGTTCAACTAATATGGTATCAGAGCCATCTGAGTTCCGATTCGTTTGATTCTTCCATTGATAGAGCTTGAATCGTCTTCTCTACTCGATCATTATCCTCTACGATGGTTTCTACCAAGAGACTCCCGCGAAAATCAGCTCGAATCGCTCGTCGTACGGCTAGATCCAACGATCCTGGTGAATCACCTCCGCGATCTCCTCCGGTTGCTGTTCAGCACACTCCTGATGCTCCGCGTGTGGTCAATGTTCCAGATTCGACGGATCCAGGTCAATCTCCTCTGTATATGCATAACTCCGATCATCCAAGTTTACAGCTCATCTCTATTCGTCTCGATGGCTTAAACTATGATGACTGGAATGCTGCTATGAAGATTGCTCTAGACGCAAAGAATAAGATCGGTTTTATTGATGGATCTCTGCCTCGTCCTGATATTACTGATTCAACTTTTCAATTGTGGTCTAGATGCAATAGTATGGTCAAATCCTGGCTATTAAATTCTGTTTCTACACAGATCTACAGGAGTATCCTTTGCTTGAATGATGCTTCAGACATTTGGCGTGATTTACATGGACGTTTTCATATGACGAACTTGCCTCGTACCTTTAATCTCACTTAACAGATTCAGGATCTCAAGCAAGGTTCGATGTCGTTATCTGAATATTATACGACCTTGAAAACTCTATGGGATAGTTTGGAAAGTGTTGATGAACCAGATACACCATGTGTTTGTGGAAATGCTGTTAAGTTACAACAGAAGGCGTATAGGGCTAAGATTGTTAAGTTTCTTGCTGGCCTTATTGAATCTTATGCCATTATTCGTAGACAGATTATCATGAAAAAGGTCTTACCATATCTGGTGGAGGTCTACAACATTTTGGATCAAGATGACAGTCAGCGTGGTTTCTCTCCTGCGGTTACTCCAGCTGCTTTTGCTGTCACTGAAACTGTTGCTCCTGCCATGGTGGATCCTACTGTCTGTTACGTTCAGAATGGCCCTAATAAAGGTCGTCCTATCTGTTCTTTCTGCAATCGTGTTGGAAACATTGCTGAAAGGTGCTACAAAAAGCATGGTTTTCCTCCTGGTTTTGTTTCCAAGTCAAAGAATCCTGCAGATAAGTCACTCAAATCTCGTCCTGTAGCAGCTCAAGTTTCACTTAGTCCAATGACTTCTGATCAAAAGCCATCAACTCTGGACAATTTGGTTAGCAATCTGAGCAAGGATCAACTTCAACAATTCATTGCTCTCTTCAGTTCTCAGTTACCGTCAACTGTTACAACTGGCTCCACTGAAGCAAGTACCTCCAAGCAACCGATGGATAACACTGGTATCTTGTTTACTCCATCTACTCTTGCTTTTGTTGGTATTCTTACTGTTGCTAACCACGTTTTAGCTAAAGAAACTTGGGTGATTGATTCTGGAGCAACACATCATGTTTGTCATGATATGAGTTTATTCATGACACTTGATTCTTCTGCTACAAGTAGTGTGAATCTACCTACTGGTCTCACGGTTAAGATTAGTGGTGTGGGTATGGTTCAACTCAATGAACACATTCTCCTCCACAACGTCTTATATATTCCCGAGTTTCGTTTAAACCTCCTAAGCATCAGCTCTATGACGGATGATTTTGGTTCTAGAGTTCTCTTTGATGTTTCTACTTGTGAAATTCAGGATCCTATCAAGGGTTGGACGATTGGACAGGGTAGAAGACTTGGCAACCTCTATGTGCTGGATGTTCATGGTGCAAAGGCGATGATTAATGCAGTTGTGGATATCAGTTTATGGCACAAGAGGCTTGGTCATCCTTCTTACTCAAGATTGGATTCTATCTCAGATGTTTTGGGAACTACGAAACACAAGAATAAAGGAGTAGCACATTGTCGAGTTTGCCACTTAGCACAACAGAAGAAATTGTCTTATTCTTCACAGAACAATGTTTGTACTTCCAGTTTTCAGTTGATACATCTTGATATTTGGGGACCATTTTCAGTGGAGACTTTGGAAGGTTTTAAGTATTTTCTCACTATTGTTGATGATCATTCTCGTTCAACATGGATCTACTTACTTCGAACCAAAAGTGAAGTTCTTCATGTGTTCCCGGAATTCGTCACTCAAATTGAAACTCAGTTTGGTGTTAATATTAAGTCTGTAAGACGAGATAATGCACCTGAACTCCGATTTGATGAATTTTTCCGCAAAAAGAGTATTGTATCGTTCTTCTCTTGTCCAGAAACACCTGAGCAGAACTCAGTGGTTGAACGGAAACATCAGCACCTCCTCAACGTTGCTCGTGCATTGATGTTTCAGTCTCAAGTTCCTCTTCAATACTGGGGTGACTGTGTTCTTACGGCTGCTTTCCTCATTAATAGAACAACGACTCCTCTGTTATCAAATAAGTCTCCATATGAAGTCTTGACTGGTAAAGTTCCGGTGTATGAGCAGTTGCGTACCTTTGGTTGCTTGTGTTATGGTTCGACCTCTCCTAAACAACGTCACAAGTTTATGCCACGAGCTCGAGCATGTATATTTCTTGGTTATCCCTCGGGTTATAAAGGCTACAAGCTGTTGGATTTGGAGAGTAATACTGTCTATATATCTCGGAATGTTACATTTCATGAAGATATTTTTCCGATGGTGAAGTTGCAGCAGGATGATTCTTCACTTCATTTCTTTCCTCCCAAGGACTCCGTACTTTCAGCTCCACGTAATTCATCTCCTTCTCTTTCACCTATACCACCACAAATTTCTAAAAGGCATCGCACTGTTCCTTTACATCTTAAGGATTTTCATTGTTATGCAGTCGATGATCCTTCCTATTCACATTCCTCTGCACTTTCTTACTCTAAAATTACTTCACATCATCTTGCTTATATCAATAGCATTACAAATATTCCCATTCCTACATCATATGCTGAGGTACGGACATCTAAAGAATGGACAGCCTCTGCTAATGCAGAACTTGATGCAATGGAAGCTAATGAGACTTGGGATCTTGTTTCGTTGCCGAAAGGTAAGAAAGCTATTGGATGTCGTTGGGTTCACACTTTGAAGTTTCATGCAGATGGTACTGTGGAGAGGAAGAAATCTCGGTTAGTGGCCAAGGGTTTCACACAAAAGGAGGGTTTAGATTACACTGAAACCTTTTCTCCTGTGGCAAAGATGGCTACAATTAAGTTGTTGTTAAAAGTTTCTGCATCAAAGAAATGGTTTCTGCATCAACTTGATATATCTAATGCGTTTCTTAATGGTGAATTGGAGGAAGAAATATATATGAAGCTTCCTGAGGGTTATGAGAATCGTTTGGGAGATTCTATACCACACAATGCCGTCTGTAAACTGAAGAAATCCATATATGGACTTAAACAGGCGTCACGACAGTGGTTTAAGAAATTTTCTACTTCTTTACTTCAGCTTAGTTTTGGAATGTAGATTGATTAACCGCTCTGCTTTTTGTGTAGTTGTACTGTTAATTTAATCTACGTTTATTACCATGTAATTCTATATTTGTAGTTTCATCCCCTCTTCACATCTTTGTTTTTTAAAACTATTCACTCATTTTTCATTCTCTCTCACAACACAACATGAGACAAATAGAAATTCTGGAAGTCACCATGGAGAAGAAGATACCAAGACTTACCTTGTAGAAAATGATTAGCGACTTCTAGAATGAGCTTAGAAAAAGCGGCATCAACATAGATTTAATCACGTATTTTCTATGTATGGACCCGTCTGAGCTTTTTCCCGACGAGTAAAGTTTTTAGATTTTTTTTTTTTCGTAATGTTTTGAGGAATATAATTGAACCAGTAGGTATAATCATAGATAACATACTAGGTAGCTAGGTAGTAGACATGGACCATATTGTTACTTTGCGATACTTCTTTCAATTTTGTTCGGTGGATTACTGGATTGTTACTTCGTCTCATCGTCTGCAATAGTAGATATGGCGACAAAAAATGTACTATTTTCTTCACTTTATTTTCAAACATTGTTACGATTTGGTTTATTATAATTTTTCGAAAAGTTAACACTGTTTGCTTTTTTTGTAGTTTTATTACTATGTTTATCACAACGTTAGCGTGAGACTTTGGTTGACAGAGCCAAGACATCGCTTGTTTGTTTCCACTCTTTTATCATCACATTTACAATATGTATTCTCCTCTTTTATTAATTATAGTAGTCTTATCTTTGATTGGTGTTGTAGAATCTCATGAGCAAACTGAATGACGCTGGCGCAATATCAAGACTCTCAATGATCTCGTTCACAAACTCTACAAGTATGAGACAGCAGACGTCAGTGAAAAAACAATGCTCATGGTATGTGTACCTATTTCCTGTTAAAATTCAGTTTATCTTATTGATGATACAATTTTATATAGGACCTCAGTGACAAGCTGATTAATCCTCATCATAATAGACTTCTCAAGGTCTATTTATTTTTCTCTTTTCTTTAAATTAAACTTTGTCTTCTTCCAATACTTATAATTAACGAATCTAATTGTTTATCTTTCTTCTGCTCTAGGCATTATCAATGCACACTCTGTAGCTGCAGAGGTTGAGCTAGATGATGATGATTCTCTAGCTCATTTCATTATGCACAAGCTACTCCACGTTTATGGTGTACACAAAGCGTACGTGGACTACATGCAGCACTTGAAAAGCATCTTTGCTCAAATCCCACGACCAGCTCCTGCTCCTGCT